GATTTTTGTTTGGTAGGGACCTATTCGTAGTGGGGGCGGGCAGGTTGCGTTCCCGGATTCAGGGTTACGTGCTCGGGACTGGCGAACGAATCCAGGAGCTGACCGGTCGACGGAATCGCGAGTTGCCTACGGGCGCCCGTCACTATGGCCCGTCAGTACTCCTGAATTCGGTCAAAGGTCCCTGGGCCGAGGGAGCGCGGGATTGTCCGCCGCACTGCGTTGTGGAACAATCCCGAATGTTTTGTTGGATCTCGCTCCGGCATCAGCGCCGTTTCAGGGTGGTGGGCCCTCCTGTCCACTAGGGTTGTACTGGCAGTCCTTGGGCTTGCCCTAAATCAAAATTTATTTTACATGTTTCGGCTTCCATGGCGGGTGACCAGTGCGGCATGGATGGCGGGCTTGGTCGGCCGTGCGCGTGTCGGCGCGTCTGAGGGTTGCTGATGTAACGTCGACCAGAGGGCTGGTCCACGACGCGTCTGACATCTTCGCGAGGGCCCCTCTGAGGCTCCCTTGGAACGTCGTCACTCGGGCGATCGTCAGGATCATCCATCTGTGGGGCGACTGGGACCCAAGATGTCTTAGGACATATCTTGTACCCAGGGGGTACCTGGTACAAGTTTCAAGGGGTATAGATAGTAGGAATTTTAGTTTGTTTTGAGTCTAGGGAAAAATTTGCGGGCAAATTTCTTGAAGTAGGGGGGGGATTTGTAACGTTCATTTTCTACGTTAGGTATATATCCTCAATTAAACACATTGATAAGTAACCTACCTCCATCAACTACCTGGTCATTCACTGTGAAGAGACATCATTTGATTTCTTAGCAACTTAGTAATCAGTTGGCCGATTCAATATCCACCGGGAGCAACGAGACAATGCTTAGCATACCTTTCAGTCCATCTGACTTCTATTGTGATAAACATCTAATGAACGATCGCTACGTCCTACACTGATTGAATTGATGGTATAGAAGTGGGGCCGTGGCCACTGTATTATTGTTTACGTTGTTAGGAATTTTCGGGTTATATTACTCAAGTAAAGTTAGCTGGAAGCGGACTCAGAGCTGTTCTTCCTTTAGGTGATCATCGGTTCTCGTGCGTTCTCGCACGCCCTCGTGCTAACTGTCAGTCAGGGAACAGTACCTCTTGCACGAAGTGTAGAAATTGTGGAGTAGTGTAAGGTGCGGTATGACGCAGAAATGACGCGGATTAAGGTGTGTTCGTGCTTGTTCCCAACAGAATTCGACGTTAATACTCAGGCGACCAAAATATACTGGAGATAAGGGTTTTGTTGACATATATAATTTCTTTATTTCTGGTCCCACCATTGATGGAAGTTCATCAAATGGAAGGCACGTTACACGACAGTAATTGAAATATTTATTTGGGTCATTCAGTCGCATTTATCAAATGAGGCTGTACAATCTTTTTATGCATTCAGAAATGCTTCCAACAGTACTTTGCTGATACTGTGAAATTGATTCGTGCAGGCGTGGACATACCTTTATCTGCTGCGCACTCTCTCCTTGCATTCTGTCCCTAAAGGGATCGTCCCAGGTAATTTTGAATCGCTGACCAGTGGATGACTTTTAGTGGGTGTTCTGTCTTTCGTTAGCTCTCTCTCTCTCTCTCTCCCTCTCTCTGAAAAATGGCTTGATTGCGTTTGACTGTCGTCTTCAGAATTATATTTGATTTTCATAATCATCTTTAATTAGGATTATGTTCTGAGGCCGCCATTTAGTGATTTGGGTAGTGATAATTTGTGTGATTCAACGTGTGTTGAAATTTTTGATCGATGACCCAAATCTTTCTCTTGTGAGGATATATTGTCGCCGCAACATGCCATATAACCTCACTGGACATCGTGAAGTAATTGACGAGATGGAGAAATCCTGATTGCAGCGCCTTAGGGACTGGCTAGATTTCCGATCATCCGTCAAATAAGACTGTCTGGAACTCTAGAAGCTAGATTGGACACTGTCTAGAGGCTAGGTTGGTCACTTTGGGAAACCTGGAAAAACTGGTGCCTGATAGAAGGAAACCCCGATTTCAAGGGGTTTTAGTTGCGGGTTTGGTTCTGGGACCAAGATTCCCTCGGGTTCGTCAACCCCAAGTACTCGGTGAGGACTATACAGGGTGGCCCAATCGTAGTCTACATAAGGCGTCCCATGTGAAGCCCCTACCAGGTGGAGCACGTGGACTCTATACAGGGTGAACCAGTTAGAGCCTATACAGGGTGGCCCGGTCTAGGGCTATACAGGGTGTTCCTGATTCTGCAGTCGCCGAGGGAATTTTGGTGATGTTGACTTTATGTTGGAAGTGTTGTTGAATTTATTTGTGCTCTCCCCATGCTACTGACCTCTCCCTTATGAATTTGCTCAACCGGGATATTTGATTATTATGTTTATGATATTTAAATGACTTGTACCTGTTCTGCAAAACGATAAGCTACCATTAGGGTTTATGAATATCTGCGCATGCGCCTGAGCTCAAGCGACGCATTTACCCCGCACCCTACTTGAATTGTTCTTTTCTCCTGAACGCTTCGTGGAATGGTTCAGTAAATTCAAATTAACTCAGCCATTGATTGTTTATTATGGTTGAAGGTCATAAGGGTGACCGCATCCCGTCTGTATAGGGTTATTATTTCGTGAGTTTCATTAAATGGGGAATTCTTAAGGAACTGTCTTGCATTTATTTTCATTCGTTGGCCCATACAACCTTAGATTTGATAGACTACCACTTGGTAATTTGTGGTAGTCTGTAACGTGCACATTGGGTGTTAGTGGAGGTAATTGAATTACCTGGCGCCCATTTATCGAACCCTCCCATCTCCACTGAAACGCTAGCCGAAGACCTTGGACCCTCGGGTTAATTTCAAGGTTACAGTGGGCCATTAACGAAATTACTCCGGCTCAACTAGTGAATGTTATGCGGGCATGCTCCGAAAAAAAAACAAAAATGCATTGACGTTAACGGGTGACAATTTGAAAAATTAGATTAATTGAGTCTGTCATAGGTGTTGAATTTCATTTAAATTGAGTTATAAAACTGTACATGTTCCAAATGTCTACTATTTTGTAGGAAAATTATCGAAATAAATATTTTGTGCGTCCGATTGTGCAGTTTCAAAAATAACTCCAGACCTTTAGAATAAATATAATTCCATAGCCAACTAACATGATGTTGAAATGTTCAATACAAGGTATAGCATGGAAATTATCTCCATAAAAATAATTAGGAAACAAAAATGTACAGGTTTTTCTTTCATTTTTCGTATTTCAATAAGTATTTGAGTTTCTAACCAACTTTGAAAATTCCTATTTATTGATGTTGAAAAATTAAGTAAAACTAAAATTATAAAAATAATTAGTCTGCATGAAACTTATTGAGTAAAAAGTTTGGCCATGAATTATTGTTGCTTACATGATATTGTTCAATCTTCCACAGCATACTTTCATGAAAATGTTCCGTTACGAGGGGAACACAAAAAGTATTTTTTTTTTATAAAATGTCAATTATACCAGCAGATTGTGAATTGAAAGTATGATTGTGATATGTCATTGTAAAGGTAATACTATACCGAGTTGTAATTTTCAAAACGAAGAATAATACTTCCTTTTCGAAATATAAAAATTGGATGCGCTTCCGGTCAAACCGGAAGTGACATATTTGGATTGATACTTGCTAAATCGTACATTCATGACATCAAATCGAAGTACCAAATTTGAAACATCCATACAAAATAACAACGAAGATACAGGGGGGTAAATTGATTCCGGGTCACCCGGTATAGCACCAAATCGAACATAGAATCCACAATAAAAATAGAAACCGATTCAGATTCAATCAATTTCTTACATTCGAAATTGAGTGAAATTAATGATAAAATTGAGTTTTCAATTTTCCATAAACGTTCCCACACTGATATCACTTTTCATAATAATTCAACACACCCTTATCAACATAAAATTGCAGCATATAATAGTATGATACAACGTTGATTTGATACACAATATTCTTTATAAAAAACTTCATAATGAAGCTATTCAAGAATTTCATCCTACCATCAAGAATAGTACCTAATCAAAAGTATAGAACTTCAACCTATTTTGGATCATCAACTGAAAAATTAGCTTATTTTCTACATAAACAAGACTTAAAAGTAGCATATAGAACGAATAACACGTTGGGAAGGTTTATCAAGAATTATGAAGACAAAACTTATAGATTCGAATATTCGAAATATCAGTGGTATACAAACTCAACTGTGGATCTTGTCCTAAGGTATATATCGGTCAGATAGGTCGTACGTTTAATCAGCGCATTCATGAACATAAGATGCATTTTTTGAAAGAGAAAACAAATTCAACATACGCCAACTATATATTAGAAGAAAACCATAGTTTTGATTATAATTTCGAAATTCTACACGTAGAAAATGAAGGAATGAAACTCAATCATTTTGAATTTTGAATTTTGTACACCGTATATATTTTAATGTAGATATTGTGCCTAATTTCTAAAATGGAGGTTTATCGAACCTGCCCACAGGTAACTAATCCTTCAGGTTGGGAAAGTAGGATGCATGAGCAAACCAAGGTTAGTTTAGTTCATCGTAACAGTACATCACCTGACGGAGCAACTGTGTTAGCGAAACATGTCGTGTGCATGTTTGAGAATCTTGTGGAAATCTTATCGTTTGTGAAGTTTTTACAAAGTAGGTAGGTACCTACTGTGTTTGTTTAGAAATGAGGAATTTCATGAGTTTGTTAAATGAGCTTGTTCTCATCAGATTATTATTCATTTTTAGCAGATATGGAAAATCAAAGTTACTTAGATAAAGATTCGATGAATCAATTTTGTATAAGTACATGTAGAAATTGGCAAATTAGTGAACACAACCTGGAAGTAGATGTGACAACAATAGTTTTTATTTTGAAATTCATTTTGAATTTCTCTCTGCATATTTTCTGGCTTCTTATGGAAATATACCTTTTCAGGCTCTCACAAAAGACTCAGTGACCGTAACAGTGGATGCAGTTGTATACTACAGAATCCAGGATCCGCTAAATGCTGTAGTGAAAGTTACGAATTACAGGTAATTTTGTTGGATAGTTCTGATGAAAGAGTGTATTTCCACTATAATTTTTGGGGTTGTACAGGCTGTTTCTAAATTCGAACGACATTCGGAACGTCTAAGGCTATAGGCTTTTTCAATATTTATCTCTCAGATTGAATTGACTGGTCTGGAAAGAATGGAGTAGATAGAGTCTCGTGCTGTGGGCATTTTATAATTTTTGTAAGCCCATCAGTAGGCAGAAATTGTAAGGTACGTACCTCAACCACAGCTATTCTTCCTTTCTGTTCACCTAACAATTTCTGCCTACTGATAGGCCTACAGAAATTATAAAATGCACACAGCACGAGACTCTTTCCAGACCAGTAAATTTTATGTGAAAAGTACAGATTGAAAACGCGTATGGCCATAGGCGAACCGTTTCAAATGATACTATAAAGACATAATTATTTACTGAATCTAAAACCCAAGAGTTGTCCCTCCCCAAAAAAACTTGAATATAGTGCCTTCGAATTTGGTTTATAGTCTCACCTTTTGAAAAGGTAATTTTTGACAACAAAGAAATTCCGGAAATTCCATGTGGTGCGCTACAACACGCTTTATTATTATTCATTATTTCCAATTTCTGGAAATCATTGTTCCATTCTGATCAAGAAATGCATCACCCTCAACTCATCTAACATACATTATTCCAAATTTTTTGGGATTTTCTCTCCTCGTTTCAATAAAATGGAAATATGAATATTACTTCAATATTCGTGTAGTAAGGACAAATCAGATGATTTGCCCTAAAATGTCACTGCGTTTGAAGAATTTTCCTATCAGAGAGCCTAAAAGAAAAATTCACTAGCTTGTCAGTGACAATTTGTATTGAAAAAAGTTTGGAGAATAGAAATTCAGGTATATAGAAAAAATATCAAATTTTTCCTCATATTTGGACGTTTCGGGACCGATTCTGCTCCCGTTTTCAACATTAGATATGAATATTTCAATAGCTAAATCGTATTTGGCTTGAAGCTTTTCAGTTTTCATTGACAATTGGAGACGTTGGCAATCAAATGAGTAACAGGATGTTCTCATTGATTAATCTCGAATTTACCATTTTTATGTTCAGATTTTAGTAGTGAATACCATGTTCTGTCTATATCAACTGAACAAGAAGCAATGCTTTCGTCTCCGTTCAGAAGAATGCAAGCAGATTCCTTGATTTTTCTCTTCTGGTTGTTATCTTCTTTTCCAATGATTTTAATATTATTCCACTCTGCCATATGTTGTCCGTCTTCAGTAAGAATATGTTCAGTTAGTTTCGAAGGAACATAAGTACAATATAAAGAAAAGACACATCGACAAATCGAAACTAGCTGAACATATCCTTACTGAAGACGGACAGCATATGGCAGAGTGGAATAATATTAAAATCATTGGTAAAGAAGATAACAACCAGAAGAGAAAAATCAAGGAATCTGCTTGCATTCTTCTGAACGGAGACAATGGCATTGCTTCTTGTTCAGTTGATATAGACAGAACATGGTATTCACTACTGAAATCTGAACATGAAAATGGTAAGATTAATTAATGAAAACATCCTGTTACTCATTTGATTGCCAACGTCACCAATTCTCAATGAAAACTGAAAAGCTTCAAGCCAAATACGATTTAGCTATTGAAATATTCATATCTTATGTTGAAAACGGGAGCAGAATCGTTCCCGAAACGTCCAAAGATGAGTGAAAATTTGATATTTTTTCTATATCCCTTTATTTCTATTCTCCGAACTTTTTTCAATACAAATTGTCACTGACAAGCTAGTGAATTTTTCTTTCAGGCTCTCTGATTGAGAAATTCTTCAAACGCAGGGACAATTTGGGGCAAATCATCTGATTTGTCCTTACTACACGAATATTGAAATAATATTCATTTTTGTTTTACCTATAGAAACTAGGAGAGAAAATCTCAAAAAATTTGGAATAATGAATGTACCACCTCCTCGATTAACCTACAGACAGTATTCAGCTTACATAGTTCCCGAGATATTTGACCCAAATTAGAAGTTTGCATATAGCAATTTCTCAACATTATAAGTAGAAGTTTATTACAAAAATATTTTTCTGGTGGTGAGTGGATTAGATACTTTTCAGATCTCATTCTGTAGCTGAACAGAATAAGTTATTTCGTGCAGAAGAGAAAATCAAACATTATTGTAATTCTACCTTCTATTTGGGTCCAATATCTCGAAAACTGTTCATTTCATTTGAGTTGAAGATGCTGCATTTTTTGAACATAATCGAACGATAAATTCGAGAAATTGGGAATAATCGAGAATTGATCAGAGACGTAGAAAACATGGTAGGAAAATTTACCACAAGGGGTTTACTCAGTGAAAAAATTTCGTAAAGGCATCCGTTATCAAGCTACAAGGTGTTGAAAACATTATTTTTTTACACATTTTCCAAGACTATGTTGAAATTACTGGCAACATTGTGATGAAATTTTGTATGGATGTTCCTTGGAATCTGACACATCGCATACATTTGCTTTTATACCTGACTCTCATAGAGGGCGATAGTTACACGGTTCGTACCGAGTAGTTTTGAAAAATACTTTTTTGAGGTTAGATTTTTCAATACAAATTTGATGTGAACTTGAACATCATTCAATTTCACACCAAAAAGGTACTCTTCGTAGAACTCGATACTGTGTTCCGTTTCCGGAATATTTCGATTTGAAAATGATGAAATGATAACTGTTGCTGGTATTTTAGAGTGAGTATTATGAAAAATTATCACTTATTTATTTCTGATGCTAAACTTATTGATTTAACATTGAATCACAAGAATAACATCAAAACAGATTTGACTAAGAACATGGATTACACGCAGTTTCGTTGTATCTTGAGCAGAAAGTCTATGCTACATAGGTAAATTCACGTCGAGAGTTGTAAGACATGATTGGACATCACTCAAATGACCTAATAGCTGATCCTCAACTGTTTAGAAGAATAATACATTCTTAAGAAAAGAATATAGAATCGTGAATTCGTCGAAACGTAGGACATTTTGAACATTTACTGTGATTCAATATTTCATGTTTCTAGTCAAATATCTCTCAATTTTCTACTTATGATTCTATGTTCAATCAATAACTTCAGCAAAAGAATACTTTTACTGTTTTTGAATCTGGATAAATAGGTAATTGAACTCAATAAAATTTATTTTATACCAGCATCATTACTACTCCATTCTTTTCAAATCGAAATATTCCGAAAACGGAACATAGTATCGAGTTTCACCAGGAGTACCTTTTTGGTGTAAAATTGAATGATGTTCAAGTTCACATCATATTCGGATTGAAAAATCTAACCTGAAAAAAGTTATGTTCCAAACTACTCGGTACGAACCGTGTAACTGGCGCCCTCTATAAGAGTCAGATATAGAAACAAATTCATGCAATGTGTCAGATTTCAAGAAACATCCATACAAAATTTCATCACAATGTTGCCAGTAGTTTCGACATAATCGTGAAAAATGTGTACAAACATCATTTTTTCAACACCTTGTATCATGAAAACGGATGCCGTTACGACATTTTTTCACTGAGCAAACCCAACTTATTTTGCAGTGTTCTACCTACCCTAGCAAGGGGGTCACGTTTTTTTGAAACACCCTGTAGAAAGTTGATTAAACCAGACAAAAGCTGATGATGTGAACTTCTTCAATATGATTATCGTATTGCAATATGCCAAAATGTGGAACGTTCATGGAATATTTTGAGAACACTGAAAGTCATTTCGTTTTTAGCTATTTTCTTGGTTAATATTAGAGGAAAGAATTTTGAATTTTATGTAAGTATGTAATTAATTTTGACAATGAAGATGAAATTGTCAGAAGTATTTTATATTCATTATTTTATGAGATTCACTTTGTTCATTCTTCATACCATTGAATAGAACTAAATATTCCTTTCACAGCCATGTATGATATGTTGACATTTTTACATGGAACAGCGCCAAAAAACAGTTAACACATTTTCAAATGTGGTAGGTCATGATAAAAAGCAAATAGAATAAGTAACAATTGTTTATATCCATGAAAACCATGAAATTTATTCATGCAAAAATGGGGAAAATGCTCTGAAAAACCAAGAATACAGATTGTTAATTTGTTAAATAGTCAAGATACTATTACTTATAGCTGCTATTGAAGAGTTTCATGTAGTGTTGAAATGGTCTTGACATAAGAAAATTAACTATTTATCAATAATCATTGATTTGTTTTCAGTATTTGAAGGTTTTGTTAATGAATTTACTCATCTTCAACTTGATCACGAATCTGCGATTGAGGTCTATGAAAATAACAAGTTTCCATAGTTGATTGGGTGAAAGGATTGATTCTCAGATATAATCATGAATATGAAAAAATGGACCGTGGCCCAGCTAAAATGTCCCCCCCTGTAAAAAAATCAACAGCGCGATCGAATGACTTGAAATTTGGTCACCCAGTATATTTGATGATGCTCACTCGAATTATGAAATTGAATGAATCGTAGATATACAGGGTCACACCGAAGTGCACCTCAACTTCCTTATTTGAATAGGGACTCCCAGTATATTATTCTATATTCAATCGGAGTTTATTATAACAAATTCAACAATGCCGGGTTTGATGGGATTTTTTCAAACGACTACGAAGATATGGCAAAAAATAAAACGATTCAATAAAAAATTCATATGATTAGATTTCATCAATAAAACACGATTGAAATCGATTAAAAAAAAAATATTGAAATCTAATAACCACCAATTGCCTCGATGGTGATATCAACTGGCCAGCTCGGTCGCCAGACATCACCCCACTTGATTTTTATTTGTGGGACTACTTGAACCAACAGGTTTATGAGTCGCCAATTGTGAATATGGAAGAAATGAAAGAGAAAATCACAAATTTATGCACACAAATTGATCGCAACGTGATACATAGGGTCACAATGAACGTTATCAAAAGAGCTAGGAATGGGCTTATATCACAAAACATTTTTATTTCATAATTCTATAGAACTCACCCAAACCGCAAACCGTTTCTTGCTGTGAGCTCCCTACGTTTTATAAAAAAATATTGAAATCCCCGATTTTTTGGACCTCTGAAAACGAGGCGATGATGTGACGTCAAAACCCTAATACTGAAACAAGACTATTCCAGACAGAGACGAATGATACATGATTTCTGACAGTGAATTAGCGCGAGATCACAGTTGAAAGAATTAATATATCAGTTGCCTCAGTCTCCGTCGGGCGTTTGGTATTTTCTTTCAACTATGGCGAGATGAGGATTCTACGTCATAAGAGGGTCCGTTTTCAGAAGGTACTATTATTTATGTCCAAAAATAAGACATTCCAGTTAATTTTTCGATCGAATTATGTCGTCAATCATTATTTATGTATAAATGGATCATTATAAACATGGTTTGAGTTAAAAGTTCTACTAAGGTGTACACGCCCATTGTTTGCAGCAGAATGGACGACATATTGAGCAGTTGAGGTTTTAACTATTTTCATTCGATTTCAGTCCTCTTGTATTGATAAAATCTAATCATATACATTTTTTATTGAATCGTTTTGATTTTTTGCCATATCTTCGTAGTCGTTTGAAAAAATCCCATCAAACCCGGCATTGTTGAATTTGTAATAATGAACTCTACTTGAATATGGAATAATATACTGGGTGTCCCTATTCAAATAAGAATGTTGAGGTGCACTTCGGTGTGACCCTGTACACTTACGATTTATTCAATAGCATGATTCGAGTGAGCATCATCAAATATACTGGGTGACCAAATTTCAAGTCATTCGATCGCGCGGTTGATTTTTTACAGGGGGAGACATTTTAGCTGGGACACGGTGTATACTTATATGAAGAAATACATTGAGAATTCGTCTTCTCTTTGTGATGAATATATAATGGTACGCACATAATATCATTCTGAATATTCAACAGAAAACAACTACTTTCCTGGCTATTTGCTACGTCGAAAATTGAATTATATCTGTTGAATATCCAAAAATAGAGCATGAAAAATGTGAATTCTCTGAAATTGAGAATTGACATCATCTCTCATCTAATTCAATGTTCGACGTGACAAATAGCCAGGAAAGTAGTTGTTTTCTGTTGAATATCCAGAATGATATTATGTGCCAATACTACCAATCTTCAAATGAGGGAAAATGCAAATATTCTACTTCAGAAGATTTTGTTTACAAATTCTTATCGTGTATGTTCTATAGATGTAATTCAATGTTCGTCGTGGCATATAGCCAGGAAAGTAGAGAATGCGAATTCTCAATGAATTTCGAACTATACAGGGTGTTATTTAAGTACGTGGCTAAACTTGAAGGGGTGCTTCTTTGAGTGATTCTAAGACGAAAAGTTCATATAAACATAGGTCTGGTAATGCTTCGTTTTCAAGATACAGGGTGTCAAAATTTTTAAAAGAAAGCGATTTTTTGGTAAATATCTTAATAACCCTTCAACCGATTTTATTGAAATTCTTCAGTGTTATTCAAGGTCGTAACGGGCTAATTTAACCCTAACTATATCAAAATTATCATGTCCAGTGGCGTCCCGGAAGGCACTGTAACCAATATTTTTGACAGAAAAAATGTGCAATGAAGTGCTTTTTATGTTTTTTCTCAAAAACAAAGCAAGATACGAAAAAAATTCTAGATATAAAAAAGTTGTAATTTTAGTTGCTCAATGTGAAACAAATACAAAAATTGCAAAAAAATCAGTGGCGCACATTTTTTCTGTCAAAAATATTGGTTACAGTGCCTTCCGGGACGCCACTGGACATGAAAATTTCGATATAGTTAGGGTTAAATTAGCCCTTTACGACTTTGAATAACACTGCCAAATTTCGATAAAATCGGTTGAAGGGTTATTAAGATATTTACGAAAAAAACTATTTCTTTTGAAAATTTTGACACCCTGTATCTTGAAAACGAAGCATTACCGGACCTATATTCATATGAACTTTTCGTCTTAGAATCACTCAAAGAATCACCCCTTCAAGTTTGGCCACGTACTTAAATACCACCCTGTATATCCATATATCTCATACAAAAATAAAAGACAGAGAAAGATATATGAATGTACTCTTCCTAGGACTTGTGGAGGAAGGAAGATGCGACGATCCTTTATCTTAGCGAAAATCATATTCTTGTCCTTGTCTGGCAAAACATATATGATCTGCGTCAAAATCGTTTGTGGTTATGTTCGAATGTCACTGCTTGTCTAGTGTCCCTACTCTAATATGTACAAAAAACGCCAAAACAGCAGTGTCAAGTACATTTAGGAACTCTAACATATAGTAAAGTAGCATTTCGTTTGCATGAGACAGTCGTTTACAAGTTTCACTTCTGGAACACGCTGTGTATAAATTCGAATTAATTTCCCAGCATAATGGATCCATTGTTTGCGAATAATTCCAGCAATTCAACTAGGCTGTTAGCGATGACGACTCTGAGAAACATCTTAGGAACCAGAAACTTGGCAGAAATTCTGTCCGATAGAGAAGCAATATCTCACGCGATGCAGACCTCTTTAGACATTGCAACTGACCCATGGGGAGTCAAAGTGGAAAGGGTGGAAATGTAAGTGAATAACTAATACATTAATATGTTTTTCTACTCACATAACTAAAATGTAATTTTCATATTTTGTATCAGAATTATTCAAACAATATTCGTAAAAAATGTAAAAACTTCACAAACGATAAGATTTCCACAAAATTTATTAAACACACAACATGTTTCGCCAACACAGTAGCTTCGTCAGGTGATGTACTGGTACAACGAACTATTTAGTTCATTGTACCAGTATATCACCTGACGAAGCTACTGTGTTAGCGAAACATGTTGTGTGTTTAATAAATTTTGTGGAAATTTTATCGTTTGTGAAGTTTTTACATTTATCATGGATTTCCATCAAGTAACGGCCGAGTCAATTCAAACAATATTCGTTTGTATCAGAATTCTTCATTAAAAATATATGCGAAATGTAGACGAAAGTGAAATCGAAGAGAATGTTCTGGTATTTGCATATCTCCAAGAAGTGTAAAAATGAAGCATCCATCTTTTGGAGAACAATTTATTTATTCTGCGCTAAGCATGACAATAAACGTGAAACAAAGGTAAGTACCTAATTAAGCAATGGACTGAACACATCTACAACCAATATCACTTATACGTGTCTCGCTGGTTGCATGCAGTTGCATGTATTATGTTGTCAATTCCCATTCCATTCGAATTATTTTGTAGGTTAGCAGGAATAGCAGGTATTTTAATGTAATTTTCTGAGTTCGTAAAAAAAGCATAGTATGTAACGCGTTTATAAACTCTTCTAGACACTCGTTTATTAAACACTCGTTACTAAAAGGACGTTTATAACACTTGTTACATGATATACTATTTTCTACTCACATAACTAAAATCGCATTTAGCGTACGGATATGTAGCACGCTAAATGATCGATTAATTACGGATTGACGATCTGTGATTTATTCAAAATATCAAACACGTTACCATGGCAACACGATTTCTTAAACACATTACCATGGCAACACAGTTCATCAACCACAGCTTCAGTAATTTGAAACATGTCTGGCCCGTCAATTGTATTAACTGTCAACTGTCATTTTCGAATTTTGTATCAGAACTATTCAAACAATTTTCGTTTGTATCAGAATTCATAATTAAAAATATATGCGAAATGTAGACGAAAGTGAAAACGAAGAGAATGTTTTGGTTTTTGCATATCTCGAAGAAGTGTAAAAATGAAGCATTCATCTTTGAGAACAGTTTATTTATTCTGCGCTGAGCATGACAATAAGGTTAGTAAGCAATGGACAGGACACATCTACAACTAATATCACTTATACGTGTCTCGCTTGCATGCAGTTGCATGTATTATGTTCTCAATTCCCATTCCTTCCGAATTATTTTGTAGGTTAGCAGGAATAGCAGGTATGTTAATGTAATTTTCGGAGTTCGTAGAAAAAGCATAGTATGACACTCGTTTAATAAACATTCGCTCCTGTCTGCTCCGCTTGTGCTTAAAATACTCGTTACTAAAAGGACGTTTATAACACTTGTTACATAATATACTATTCAAGACACTTGTTTACGAAACACTCGCTCCGCTCTGATCCGCTCGTGCTTAAAATACTCGTTACTGAAAGGACGTTTATAACACTTATTGTTACATAATATACTATATATATGTAGTGAAATATTTCCGGTGCATAGGATGCTCAATGCATCATAACGAGATATCCTAGAATCAGAAGAGATACAAGTGAAGTATAATCAAGTATCCAACTGGATTATTCTACATAAGGGGTTTTCAACCTTCTTGGTCCCATGCACACTTTTTACCATTTTCCCAGATGCCATTCCCCATTAGAATACATCCCTTATAAGTTTCAGCTTCGATAACATACATGTTGATTTGTCTATTTTAAATTTGTATATTATTATACAGGGTGGGGCATTAGTGCGTCGAAGCTCGATTGCTCGAGTTCTATGAGAGCTACAAACTTGATTCAAAAACGAATGTGAGACAACAAGGCCCGTAACTAGAAATTATTGCTGTATATACAGGGGGCAACGGAAAGAATTTAGAGGGACAGGATCACTTTTTTCAAATGGAATGCCCTATATATAAGCACATTCTTCGAAGCATTCCTGTGACCTCCATCCATACCTATAATATTGTCGACTTTTTCTCGATCATTTCAAAGTCCATACCGAAAAAATCACTATAATCACAATCATGAAGTTAAAGAGATAATAATCATAATTTCATTTGATGAAATAATGCGTGATATTTCTGTAGAATTCTCATGATCATCAAATTATACAGGGTGGCTGAAAATGTTTTTTCAATTCGGAACTTTTGGAAGCTATTTTTCTCGAGTTTTTCAAATGAAACATTCCATATATTTTTAGGCCAGTTGGTGTGAAATTGAAACAGGAACATCTTGACTCCAACTTGGCTCCTCCACCATTCCTATGACGTACTTTCTGAAAATCCATATTCACACAGACATTCATAAAACGGATCTATTTTCTAGGAGAATTGCAGATTATATCTTGCAACAGCGCCTAATACCTCGAGTCCATTCACACCACTCAAAATACTGACAGGCACAACAAGAGGGAGGAGCCATGGGTGTCGGCTTCATTCTCTTCTGACCGATGGCAGTGAATTAGGAAGGATAGTATCATTGGATGTACCCGATATTGATTCATTGATTCAATGATATTTTCGTTTAGGATCGAGCTCTATTCGAGATATTTCAATACATAAATAACAAAACCATAACCTGTCAGAATGAAGCCAACTACCTTCTGCAATCCTGCTTTGGCACATTTGTGGTTATTAATGTTTTTGTTTACCAGTTTTACTTTTTCTATTTTTATTCATCCGATTTTCATTCTTTAGCTATACGTTAGCTATTCGCTAGCTATATTCTTCACCATCAACTATATTCAGATTAGATTCAGAATTTACGTCACAGTTTGCCGCCCCGAAAATCAAAAATTGCTTCAATTTGAAAATGAAAACGACATGGTCTTTACCGGGCGCCATTCTGTACAGCGTGGACATAAAACTGGAGAGTTCCAAACTTATTTTATTAAATTTCATCTGAAGGAAACTTCCCCATTGAATTGAATCATAACGACCATTGGGATGAAATTGAAAATATACTTAGAAAAGGAAATGACATAAATGTTTGGGTTCATCAAGGTGCAGTTCTGACACCTATTCTTTTTATCATTCACCTAAATAGTATGCTTCAACTACGTGACATCTTACAAGGTGACATCAGACACTAAACAATTATTATTCATCCCACAGCAAAGACGTGAGCCTACCACAGCAACTGCAGCGAGCGATGGCAGCAGAAGCGGAAGCATCCAGAGAGGCTAGAGCCAAGGTCATCGCTGCCGAAGGAGAAATGAAAGCCTCGAGAGCACTCAAAGACGCTTCCGATGTCTTAACCGAAAGCCCAGCGGCATTGCAGGTAATATTATTTCATGCTCTACCTTTCCGCAAATTTTTTATTTAATTTTATTATCGCTTGGAGCGCACGAAAGGGAATCGCTATAATGTTCAAAGAACATCGTGCGTTCCTAGGGAGGATAAGGACAGGAGGTAGGTATTGGATTTTTTTGAACTTTTGGAGATTATATGTTGTTGGAAATATTTCCACAGGCAATGAATTCCAGAGCCTAGTATTAGTCAGGACTAGATTTGAGAAAAAGGCTTCCGTTACGAGTCTAGAAGCAAATCATATAACATTTGAGTTAAAGCTGTTTTATGAGTAATTCGACTCTGCTGAATCCGAAAATGCTTGTTACCAACTCGAAATCTTGACCGGAAGTGAGATATTCAAGATGGCGGCCTATTTTTTGCAGTTTTTTTGCATATATCTTGAAAACTATGAGGTTAAGCACAAATATAGTTCAATACAAAAATATTTTACACTGAATTTCGGAGGAAAGAGTTATTCACAAGTTTCTCCTGAAAATGAATAGTTGCGGAGATATGGGAGGGAAGAACATTTCAATTTTGAAATATCTCGGAAAATAAAATTTTAAATAATTGTGCCAATGGAATTAATTGTATCTGAATAACACCGAAAAAATTCTAGGGCCGATTTCTTGTGATATTTTAGGAAATAAAGTTCATATGGACATGTGTCCTAACTTGCTGCGTTTTCGAGATACAGGGTATCAATATTTTCATGAAAAATCGTTTTTTATTTTATTACTCAATTGTCTTAGCATCAATTCCAATGAAACGTTGTGGCTTCTTCTGGTGCAATTAAATTCGAAATAATATTTTCAGTGGCGTCACAGTGAAAAAATTTATCGATATTTATGGTGAATGTCATTGTACTCCACGGATACTTCTGAGTTTCATATTTTTATCAGATTGAACTATTCAAATAACAATTTTTTTATCCTTTGTGTAATTTTTGTATCTAGCTTAATTTTCGACAAAAGAAAATAAAAATTCGATTTGACTCCAAATTTTACTGTAGGTATTTTCAAGACTACCATTGAGATTACTCAATAACCCCGATCACGATCATTTTGAAATTTTAGGGCTCCCTCAGTCTCCAACCATACTGAATTTTGGCACCATGACAGCTTATACAGGGAGGTTATAAATAAAAATAATTGATACTTCCAACTTCAACATTCTGTATCTCAAAAACGGAACAAGCTAGGATACATGTTTATATAAACTTAATTTGCTAGAATAGCACAAGGAATCATCCCTTGAATTTTTTCGGTGTTATTCAGATACACCCTGTATATGTTAGGGACTGAAAAATATCATGAAGAGATATGTACACTATGTATAAGACGATGTATGTAGCTTATAAAAATTATTTATACATATTAGTCAGGACAAAAAAACGGAATAACCAGGTTTTAGAAGTAAATTGAATAACATTTGAGTAAAAGGTGTTTTCTAGCTAATTGGACCCTGCTGGGATCAAAAATGCAAGTTACCAACGCGAGAACCTAACCGGAAACAATATATTCGAGATGGCGGCAAAAACGGATATAAACACATTTTCTGCTTCCAATGACCTATGATCGTGATTCAAACATCAAACTATATGATTTTGAGGACAATAAATTCGCACATTCACCTAAAAGAAAACAGCAATCGGAATCTCAGAGAATGTTTTATTCAGGCAAAAATGACACAAAAAAACACATTAACAAATCTAATCGCTATGCGTATTTAAGCACAGTGCTCGGCATTTACATATCTTCATGCATGGGTCCAATGCTTTTCTGCACCGGCACTGATTTATCTGGCACATAGGAGGTAGTCTCATGAGAATTGGTTCGAGACTAGTGCCGACTGCCGTCAACTCTCCAGCCACAGTTCTCCGGGTTTGGAACACTTGGTTTGGCAATATGGGCGCTTTGCCAAACGCACACCTACGAGAGAGAAGAAAAGTGTGTGAGTTTCAAATATGAATATGCAATGCCATTTCCATATCAATTCTTCCCACTTGGTAGTGACACCTTTCAATATGCAGGTATAGAGCATCGAAGGTTGGAGGCAAATTCTCGAGTTTCTTCACAGCTCCAAACAAAAAATTCCGAGCATCATCGCCAGATTCGATTTCTGAACTAACCTGTCCAGAAACAGAACATGATATTGAAAAATATGGAAAGAGCGATTCTCTTTTGACAGACATGTATGTACCTTGTACAGTTGGACGACGAATTTCTCTACTTTTGCAATCACTTGATCTCTTAGAGGGGTTGACCCAAGACCTTCTAGAAGTGAACAAGCATCTCCTTTGAATACCTTCCATGCTGCTTTTTTTGTGATGGAGGAAATCTTCGATGTGCTGTCACATCCAGTAATGGCATGGAATGCCATAAGATTAGTGACTTGCTCAGGTGCCAATTTGTCACAGACGTCATGGATGGATGATATGAGAGGTATATGAATCTGCGATCCCTTGCTGTACCACTCATGATCCACACCTTCGAGAAGTGGTGCAAGAAAAGCAAAATGACATCGGTATCCCTGACTGAAACAACAACATTTTCGGCTTCTGCAAAAACTGTATGTGGAACCATCCTTGTGTCAGCTTCCTCATGTGTCAGAGAGCACGACTTCCAGTGACCCAAAGTCATGCTTTAAAGCTTCTTCTGACAGAAACCTTTCGAGATCCGCTTTGTTCTCAGGCATTGAGAAGAATTTCTTCCAATCTTTGTGTAGAGGCACATTACAGTTACTGATGACCCTTCGAACAGGAGCGAATCCCTTTCCTCTCTTTCTCCTTGTTCTTTCTTTCACAGTCAATGGACGATATCGGTCGAAGATTATGTGAACCTCTTTATAATTAGAAGCCATCTTCTGGATCCCGTTGTTAAAATCATTGGATAAATCTCCAAAGAATCTTGCATCTAGTGCAAGCTTGGAAAAAGTGTTGACAAACGCCATGCCATCAATAATTAATATTGATTTGGATTTACCGATGTCGAGTCCACATGGGCGTTCTACTTGCTTTATTATTTCACTCACTAGTGATGCTTTTTCCGCTGGCCGAAGATGACCACTCATAATAGCAAGGGAGACCGGGACTTCACATAACTCATGTTTATGAGATATATACATCGTCATATACTTAGTGTACACATTTTATTATAAGAATTTCGTGTCACTTACCAATACCTATGATTTCATTGCCATAAGTATTATTAAAAACAAAATTTTTCAAGATATTTCGAAATTGAAATTTTCTTTCTTCCCATATCTCCGCCACTGTTCATTTTGAGAAAAAACATATGGAAAACTTTTTTCTTCAAAATTAAATGTAGATTATTTTTGTATGAAACAATTTTTGCCATAGTTTCCAAGGTAAATGCAAAAAACTGCAAAAAATAGGCCGCCATCTTGAATATCTTATTTCCGGTCGGGATTTCGAGTTGGTGACAAGCATTTTCGGATTCAGCAGGGTCGATATTACCTATAAAACTCCTTTAACTCGAATGTTATATGATTTGCTTCTAGAACTTCACTTTTCCGATTTCTTGTCCTGACGATATGAGGGGATGAGGACTATTTCGACCTTATTCAGAATGACAATTCGTTGATCATGTTGAGGTACCTGTTGAGTTAGTGATTCTTCTCAATTATGAAGAGTCTTTTCTGAGTTGAGCCTAGATGATTCTAGTCTAACTAAGGTCAATTTCCGCTTTATTTTGACTAAATTTTCAGTTCATCCGTTTTTGGGTACACTGAAGTATTCCAGTACCCAACAAGGTGGCATCATGTTTGGGATATCAATCGTCAACCTTCACACCACGAGATATTTATGTCTTCTATATGAAAAACATTTAGTACCTTTATAATCAAGGGTAGTACCAAGGGGGTACGAATAATTATCATCGCTTCCTCCACCATAAACTCCTTCTTCTGTTCTGCTCTTGATTCTGGATCAATAAGTATACTTACCAGATGATGGCGTTATTCGGAAGCATTCGAATGTCTCTACCCTCCCAGTCTTCACTTAAAATTATTATCAACTACAAAATTGCCAGAATGCTCAAAGTGGAATGAAATGTTGAATATACAGAGTGTTCCTTAAGTACGTGTAGAAAATTCAGGAGCATGTTGCTGAGGTCAAAATAAGACGGAAATTTCTTATAACTATGTGTCCAAAAGTTCTTTGTTTCCCTGGAATACAGAGTGTTGAAGTTGAATTCTTATTTTTGTTTTTTGTTAATAATTTTCTAGATAATTGTGATATTCGATGTGTATTTTCCGATGAAACTATCAAATTTTTTGTTGGTTCGTCTCTTTCGTGGGGGTGGCGCCACCTACATGTCTTTAGAGTCTTTTGAAAAGTCATAACTTCTTTGTGCGTACCTGTATCATGTGATATAGTAGGAAAATAGATTTCTTGAACACTTTTGTGTGAAAAATATATTCCTGGTAGAGGTCGCTGCGAGCAACTGTTTTCGAGTTATTGGGATTTGAAATAATCGATGCATTTAAATTATTTGCATAGGGCTCGTTAGTCGCCTCAATACAATACAATACAATACGTTTATTTTCCATTAGACATTTTTACATGTATAGGAATCGTCAGATTGAAGGCTTAAAACTAGACAGTTTGAGACAGAGACATAAGATAAAATGATAATATTTAGATATTACAGAGACAGAAACAAAAAGACTAGGCTGCCGAAAAATATTCTTCTACAGTATAGGGATTCATTTCCAGTATAGGAATTGCTTCAAGTTCGTTTTGAAATGACTGAGTTTTTTGAAGTTTTTCAATCGACTGGGAAGTTTATTGAAAAGTTTATTGAAAACTTTCAGTCCAAAGTAATTGGGAGAGTTACGTGTAATCTCATATTTACACATTGGAATGTGATAATTGTCACATTGTCTTGTACTTATACCATGTATATTCCTATTAGTAATGAATTTTTCTTTGTTCAAAAATACATAAACACATAATTCAAATACAAA